ACACTGAAAGTCCGCCTTTTGTACAATCAATTAATTTGGTGTGCAATAAATAAAAAAAACTGCGTATTTCGGTTAATCCAAATACCGAATTAAGTACGCAAAGTTTTTTGTTACAAGAATAATTCGATTTCTTGAGGATTAATTCAAGTGAAATCTTATAATTGAAATCAGAGTTATAGACAGAATCATGATCCCCAATGCTGGGGCTTATTACAAAAGTTAAACGGGTGTTGAACACGTGTTTAACGTCTGATTAAGTTTTTTTAAAATACCACATAGGTATTTTTTAACTTAATTCAAATACACAAAAGTAGATTAATGTTTTTTTTTTAATTCACAACGAGGAAGCTCTTGGCCTGTATCTCACCTGATGGTAAGTGACAATCAGGCCGAAGGTGGTATTTGTCTTGTAATATTTGTTTTCATTCTTAAATAAATATAAGCACATTGTTCATTTCCTCCCTATGTACTGAAACTCTCAACGCTTTTATTTTGCCTTCACTGAACTGTGATTTAATTTAATACAGCTGCCAATTTTTCGTAAATAAGTCAATCAAATATTATCATATTCATTGCACGTAAACCTTCCAGGTATCAAGGAGGTGCAATCCTGCAAAACAGTATCGATATAACTTCTTCCTCCATATCTCTCACCCATTGACTCAATCACGAGGTGAGCGAAAGAGAGGGATACGTCGAATTTGGTGTACAGAGTAGACCCCATGTTGCATTTTCGTTATCATGCCGGCGAATGTGTCGGTAATTTCATTTGAGGTTGAATTTTCCCAGGTAAATGGAATTAAAAAGTTGAGGGCCGTGGTGAATAACTTACAAATGCCGTTTAAACCAACCGTGACATACTGTTGTGATGTCATCGAATAAAATAGTTATTTATGATGTAAATGTTGGCGACCGATGATTCGAAAAAAATAAAAAGATGTAGGTAGTTGATGTTAGTCTTATAAGCACAAGCCATCATATCAGAGAGCCCTGTTTAGATACAGAGTCCTTAATACGTCTTTATAATAATTCGTAATTAGTGCATTATATTTTTCTGTGGTATACAGGGTTATTTGAAAGGCACCAGCAACCTCGCAGGACCAAATACCTGACCTACCCAAATACCTGATTTAAAAAATTACCCTGTACTTAAAGGTACTTATAAAATTGGCGATACTCCATGAATATGACAGTCATTTGTTTTTATGTTAAATCATCGAATGTGTTACTAGCTACATAAATATTAAGCGTTTATGCCTGTAATCTTGATTGGGCTTATTATATTAATTCGCCCTTCCATAACCTGTAGATATTGGCAGGCGCCCAACCAACACAGAGATTTGGCAGATGGACGGACGATAGCAGCGCCATCTTCATTTGCCAGCGCCTTAATTAGCCGTTGAAGTAATTACTAGTGTAGCTTTATTATAATGGAGCAGCGTAAATTTTCTTTCAAGGAAACGTCTGCTAAGTGCCTGGCCTGTTTTTCTAACCCTTAACCACTGACGTGTCATTTTGTTACACTAACACTGACGTACGTACGGCATACGTACGTAACTTTGAAGACCTCCTGATGTATCAATAGAGTGTAAATTTGGTGATATTTGAATTTAAATTATTTACACATGTTTATATTAAACAGAGATTGTAAAAAAAACATAGTAACATTAATAGAATAGTATGATATTGGTGAAATTCTCCAGTCGTAATAAAAGTTACACAGGATTTTTTTAAAAATCAACACAAAAATATTCGATAAAACTAGGAACTTCTATTTTGGCCATATTAAAGATTAATAACAGTTTTAATCAGGAAAAAATCACAATAGCAATAATTCACAAATTAAGTCACTTTTTAATACAGTTAATTTAGGAAGGCTATTTTCTATAGTCTTTCTTTGTTTGATGACCTGGTCACCAGTTTACCGTGCTTCAAACTAGCTAGGAAATATGAAAATATGGTATACAATCTTCAGAAGAAGTCAAATCCAAAGCCACGAACTAAAGCTCCTTCACCATCATGATGATTGTCCTCGAAAACCGCAACTAATATAAATATTTTTATGTACTTAATTTTTTGCTAATTTCTTCGTCATTTGTTATATTTTTTGGCGTATATAAGGTTTTTTATACATAGACCGCCAAGTAAATAAATTAGAGTGCTAACGATTAATTTTATCTATGGACCAACATACAAAAGCGATGTTGAAAAAGTTACACTAACACTGACGTTACGTACCACATACGTCGGGTGGTCTAGCTCTCCTACTTAGGGACGTGCTACCCATCTATTTTCTCCCGTCGCACACGCATCTCTGGCCACTAGGAAACTACCAAAAACGACAGGCAAAAATTCCCGCACAAAATGAAGTTTTGAACGAAAAACCGTTTGACCGACGTACCACGTACGTACGTCAGTGGTTAAGGGTTAACCAACTTTAACAAAGGGGTTCTCAATTCGGGTGGCATATTTTAGAACTAGTAAGGTAGAGAGTGGGTTTGAATCCGACGAAGGACAATATTGATATGGGCACTTCATTATTTATTAATGAGACTCTACAATGTTTATTTGTAAAGAGCACTCCACGACGAATTTGTTTAGATATCAAAATATTTGACAATAAATGCTTGACATTTGCCTAGGCATATACATAACTAAATTGGTTGCACTAAAATCCCTTACAAGGATGTTCACTACATTACACGTTATCATCATCATCATTTCAGCAGAACGTCCACTGCTGAACATAGGCCTTCCCAATGATTTCCACACCGCCCGATTGGTAGCGGCTTGCGTCCAGCGACTTCCTGATACCTCCATGATTGCAAGTCACCCTGTATACATTTTAATGATTTTGGCTTAATGATATGATATTAGATGAATCAAATAGAAGCTTCTGATAACAGATCATAATAATATTGTTTCATTGTCTACCTGTCCGTGTGTCCTTGTACGTTGCATTATCTTGATTGTTAATAATTCACGTGTCATTATAATCAAGCTCTCAATCCGGTTATGTTTAATTTAATCACTCTTTTGAGCTTATAAAGCAATGTAATGAAGAGTGACGTACAGCTTGCATAGTGTATTATAAAAAGTGAGGTATTAAATTAACAATGTTTTTTGTTAATGGTTCTACGAGTGTGTAATGCGAATTATAAACCTATTAATTAACAGTTACAATAGTTAAATACCTACGTATTGATAATGTTTATGTCATTTACCTACTTACTTTGCCTGCCGTATGTATTTTGGTCTGTCAAGGGAAATCTTAAGCAGTAAAATCTATATATCTAAAATGCACCTACCTACTTCATTACGTTCTAAACGCACAAACATAAAGCTTCACATTATACATTTACATGATGTGACGATCACCCTTAACTACTGTCACTATTACAACTACTATTTTTATACCGTATAGTAACAGGCAAGCAGGATAGGTGATTTAGTTGGATTTTTTATTTAAATACGAAGCAAAAGATTACAATGTTAAAGTCAAATAAAAACCTCGCAAAACCGCACTAATTCGTAATAAACCTTTCCAACCCACTTTCTCTCCACGTTGTCCGACCCAAGTTCCCGTGTGTCTCAAAAGTTTGTTGCATTCTCTTGATGATAATATATACAGTACCAGTGACATGTTGTGTATGCATTTAACCCAAGCCGCAATGCGGAATACGTTGGTACTTAAAACTCGCTGTTGGTCCCTGGACTGATTTATATGCGGGGGTAAGAAGCAGACATATTTTGATCGTTTATTTGCCGTACCTTATGTAGCATTCGGTTATGCGAGGGTTGGTTGTAATTTAAATTTAAATTGGTTGTTATTTTTACGCAAGTCTTATTTGGAAGAAAAACGGAGGTAAACCTAGCTTTTTATTTTTGTATTATGGCTTTCTTGAAACAAATATCATTGAATAGGGTCAGAATAGTCCCCGTTATAATTAACTGTCTATAAGATGCTTACCTCTTGTAATATTAAGATTATAATAACTAAGTGCTCTTTCAAATTAGGTGTTTTTCAGTCGGCAGTTGTGCGAAGACTGCACATTTATGTTGGTAATTGTTATTTTTATTCCAATGCAGATGTCATAAAATTGTCCATGTGCATGCAAACGTCTGGCTTAAAACATTTCAATGAGGGCTATCGTTTTAGCACTCACTAGTTAGCGCCACTGTAGAGTAAGGTCCTGTCACTTACTAGTAGCGAAGATAGTGGCACCAACTGGTGAGCGCTAAAGTGGTAGGAGGACTATCGCAATTGCACTCATCAAGATGGCGCCACTGTAGAGTAAGGTCCTGTCAATCGCCAGGGGTTCCAACTGTTAAGTATAAAAATGATAGCCCTCATTGAAAAGCACTTATGCTACAACAAACTGACCTTGAACAAGGATCCTCATCAGGAATTGGATTTCTAGACTTTTTCTCTCAAAAGAAATGTTACGCCCAAATCATCATCATGTAGTCTCAAACAATTGCCCTACATTAGCATACGTCAGTGAGACGTAAACGAGAGAGGGCACTTCTTATGATCCTAGTTGTGTCGAATTAACTTATAATAATAAAACCATCTAGTTACTTTTACGCTACAAACTGGCTTTCGACTAAGGATTTCCTTCAGGAATTTATTTTTATGAATTTTTATTCCAAAAAAATGCCTAAATCATCACACTGTAGACCATTAACATACGTCAGTGAGAGGTAAACGAGAGAGAGAGGGCACTTCTCAAGATCCTAGATGTATTATAGTCAACTGGCCTTGAAAAACGATTTTCACAATGAATTTGTATTCTAGGAACTTTTCTCCCAAAAGAAATAGGCTCGAATCATCACCCTGTAGTCTCAAACAATTGCCTTCCATTAGCATACGTCAGTGAGACGTAAACGAGAGAGGGCACTTCTCAAGATCCTAGATTATGTCGGCGCGTAGAGCTGAAGATAAACGACTTCAATCTGAAAAAGGCATAGTTATATTCTATAGGTTTAACTGTATTATCATGAGTCTTAAAGGTCGGTGATATGTAGCTTGTATGTGATTAAATCTATTTTAGACAACAGATTAGTTTGGTTGAAACATTTCGTGAATGAACAAAGTTACGCAACGAAAGACTAGACGATAGAAAAGTGAACTAAACATATTTAATTATTTTCTTTGAATATAAGTGATGCCATAGTTTCCTAAGCAATATAAAATCTATAGGAACTTGTGTTCTCAGAAGCTAATGAAAAATAAGTAAAAACAATTAACAGGTAATGACAACACAGTGTTTAACATAATTTGTAGGTACCACTCTGGGAAATACTGTACACAGAGAAATTATAGTAGAAACTTTATGATGAGCTGTGTATATGTATACCAGAAAACCTTAATGCCACATTCATAATAGATTGTCATAATGATTGTAAGTCAATTTAATTTTTACGACATCCATCGACTACCACACGCTTCTTACTTATCATAATATTGCAGGCTGCTGCCTCTGTCAAACAATACTATATTATTGGCTCACGGTCCCCCCATGTTTTATGTATGAAGTATTGGAACGCATTTTCGAAGCAATATTTTTGGTGTGACCACACTTTTGGGGGTTATCGGAGATTTATAGAGTTATCGAACAAAAATATTTTGACTAACTTTATCGTAGTCATATTTCTGTGTAGATACGGGTTGTCAAATTGTTCTAAAGAGTTTATTAAAAAAATTTGGATACTGATTACAAAGTCTCCCTGTAAGTACCTATAATAATATTATTATGATCATAATAATCTGTCAGCCCTTATGTTGGTAATAGAATCTCATAATATTTCAATATTTGTTTTGAACTTGATTCAATCAATTCGTTTCAATAAAATGTGGTTCTAACGTTCTATTCAGTAAATAAGTATATAAAAGATTAATCCCTGATTAGTTTACTAATCCGCTTTATACTTATTTTTTATATCTCAATAAAAAACTTTTATGTTAAAGATAACACACTCCCAGTAATACCTAGCTTTGGCAGCATTCCAAATAAAAGTAGTTACTTACTGCAACATGAAATAAAAATACGTTTCAATGAGCCTTGGTTTTACCAGACTTAAACCTGTAACTGTGAAATAATTATTCTGTGTGTTATTTTTAGTAAAAATGCTTTTTGAAAGAGTCGAGGAGTATGTCCTACTGAAAAACATTCATAACTGCGTGAACATACGAGTACAAGCCCAACACACCTTTTTATTTAGATTTCAATTGTTCTTCTATCATCATCACCATCATCATCATCAGATTCTTGTTAGAGCACGATTGTCTCCAATCACACATTCTTGTAAAATTTTTCTTTGTTAGGACAATGACCGTGTTCTTTTTTTGAGTATCTATTCTCCTAAGTAGATATTTTATACCTTGATGAATAGCCACTGGTGTAGATAAAAACCGTTATTTTATTTTAATAAATAAATTACTAAACTAACAGCTTCTCCAGCTGAATTTAGGGCAAGTAATCTTTCGTAGCGTAACTTTGACCGCGGGGTTCGTCTGTCAGGAACCTGTCTAGTCACTCATCGCTTGTACCATTAATTGTTTGCTTCGTCATTCCTTGAATTTGCCGTTCGAGACCGTTTGTTTGGTTCCTATTAGAAATATAAATATTTTCTTTTTTGTGTTTTGTTGTTACTAGAACATTTTTTGAATCAAACAGCTCTAAGTAATCATAACAATAACCTTTCAAATATACCTATCCGTCTTTTACTTTTATAAATCTGAATCTTAAACATATCCTTGGTGTAACACGACGCCATTTAGCCCCAAAATAAGCGCAACTTGTTATGTAGGTACCAATAAAAGGTGTTAGGTACTTATTATAATAACTTATTTTTTTGTATGCATACCAAATTGAATACTTTTTTGTGACTCCTACATCTGGGAATTGAACTCTGGAATATTAATCTCGTACAATTGATGCAATTTTGCGACACTGTACGACATTTTGGGTGAAAAATCACTAGAGTAACCCTGAATTTTTTTAGTTGATAAATCACTTTAAGTGATGTGCCCTGCCTAAATCCTTAATTTTGGTCACCGTAATCACGGTTCCCGACTTGTATCTTTGGGCAATCGATGGGCCTGTATAAAGTCACGCGTTCTTTGCTGGCTTGGAATGGGTTTGGTGAAGTTTAACGACTGGCTTCAACGGTTTTATCGTTAAGAACTTTTATTTAATGGATAAACTATTCACCCTGTATTTTGTATTATCCTGCTTTCGCCTCCGAGATTTATTTTACCATGTAGTACCCCTGTACGACAACCCAATCCGCACACAATATTCAGCGTAGTAGTATTAAAAAACAAAAGAGCGGGCAACCCCACCCCTACCACGCTGTGGGCTCGGTGTCCGAGCGGTCTCATTCCTTTGTGCGCACGCGCAACGACNTATTGAGATAGAGCATTCTGCAAAACGTTACCCTGGCAGGAAATGCAATATCTCGAAAACCTGAAGACGCACAAATCACATTTTCAGCTCACATAATAGAACAAATATAAGCTATCTGCTCGTACACAGTTTTTCTCTTTCCGATCATTCGTTTAGAATTTTCCTGCTAGAACAACGTTACTCCAGCAGGAATCGTTTTTTCCGTTTTGTACCAAAACGACAGCACGCACTAATCTCTAATTTGGCGCACATTTACACCATGTTGGGAACTAATTAAACGTTCTACTCATATCACTCTAGGAGCTACTTTCCAGCTGGAGTAACGTACACTCCCTCCGACTTACCCACACAAGTTGCGGGTAACGAGTAGTCGTAACGGTAGAATGTCGATGTGACATCACAGCTGCTTGGTGCGTAGTTAATTTGACTGGGTTATACACAATATGTGCTTTTATAAAAATAATCAATTTTATTTATCTATTCCAGATATAGAGCAGACTTCCCAATCGCCCCCTGCGGAGCGTCCCATCCGCCTCTCCCGGATCGCTGACGTCATCGGCTCAGGGTGCAGTTTCCCCATCAACACTGATAACGAACTGGACAACGATTGCCAGGTAAGAGGATTTTTTTTTCTCTTTTTCACTACAATCTGTTGCCTTGCTGGAACATTGAGTAGTATGTTTGTTGGGATATGTCATGTCTTGCTCGGTATGTGGCCTGTGTCACATCCTACTTCACTTTATTGGGTTAGGTAAGAGGAATTTATCTGTATGCTATCCTATAAATGCTATCCTATCCTACTAATCCTAACCTACCTTATTCTTATTTTTAAGCCACCATCAATTCCTAATTTAAATGTGTCCCCTATGGTAACATATAACAGGAATTTTGTTTTCAAAGGGTTCACTTAAAAATCAGGATTCATGGTGAAAACGGGCATTATTCTACTAAACCTATTCTATCCTACCAGTCCTATACTATCCTACTAATGCTATCCTATTCAGTAGAATCCTAATCTTCCTATTTTTTTAAATCTTTATTGGCAACAAAAACACTTACATGCTCAAACATTATTGTTGCGTTAGCAATTGCATTAGTCAAGGACTGTCATGTGTCGCAGTTGCTAGCGCCCACCTCATACAGGCTGACATTGCGGACTTATAAGTATTTATGTTTTAATGTGAAAGTTTGTAAATGGATGTTTGTTACTTTTTCACTCAATAACTACTGAACAGATTAAAAATAAATTAATATTTCTACATCGTTGTTCTCTTCCTTCATGCTGCTATTAAGGATTACAAAGTGATTACTTCATGGATCGAGTCTGTATTGGTAAGTTAAAAATTTAAAAGTTAAGAAACAAAATGGGGCTTGGTCTGAGGAATACATGTAAAGAAGCTTGGTCAGACAAGCTCTTGTAAGGATTTCATAGTATAGTAATTGGAGCACTTGCTCAATAAGCAATAAGGACACCAAGTCCCACAATTTTGTCAAGTGAAAAATGAATCAGTTTTAGATCTAAGGCAGCAAGCCTTAGATTGTACGCACACCAGCTTACAGTCATTGTGATTCTGACATAGACTTTGTGTTAGTTTGAAACCATTAACCAAGAAAGATTTTTCTTTATTCTAGTCCTCATGCGGTCTCGACCAACCACAAGCATATGAAAACCAAGAACCTCTAGAAAGACCCAACCCCGAAAAGGAAGTGAACGACACCTTCATCAGACCTTTGGAACCCTCCTCCCACGACAAGCAACCCTCAATCCCTCTCACTTTAGAAAGAAACAACAACAATACTGAACCCTTGAAGAGTGAAAACGAATCTTTCAAGTCCCAACTCCATAACGTAGACATCATAGCAGAGTCCAATTTCCTGGACTCAAACAAGCAGAATTTGACAGAGAATGGGACCAGGATGAAAAGGGGGGTAAGATTGGTGAGAAGGATTGGGCCTGGCACTGTGAGGGTAGTCAGGCAGACCAATGAGGCGATACTGGGCAGTTCGGATGAGAACCTTAGTTTGCAGTCGGAGGAGATCGCGTGGAAAGGTACGTTGAATTTTTAAACTATCTATTCAGACTGAAAACTACAGGTCTAGCATGAATGAGTCAGTGCCTGGGGTATGGGAGGGGCACAGGAGGGGTGACATAATATGACGTAACAGAGCATACAAGTCGCATGCACAGTTGAAGTCTCACTGACGTTAGACGTCATAAAAACCCCGAATTCGGACCAGGGTCCAGGAGTAATCGGCTCGTCAATACATGCCCACAAAAACATCCAGTTACTCACTCAGTTATGCGCTAGATCTGTTTGTTTGTTTGTAAAACTTTGTTGGTGATCGAATTCAAGAAGGAAAGTTGACTTTGATATTTGACTTTAAATTATCTGATATTGAATTACAAGGTCCATCAAGTGTGATATTTTTTGAATCTGTTCTCGCTTAGCTTCATAGGTATATCATTTAATCTCCACTGCAAGAACACGACTCTCTCTAATTTATCTGACAAATGGAGGATTTGGCCTACACTCCCAATGCTAGCCAGACGGGTTAGAAACTAAATTCACTAGAGGATAATTAAATTTGGTCTACTCTCCACATTCTCAGGTGGGGAGGCTTGATGTTCGCATATTCGTTGTTCCACAATAATGAGCCTTAACACCTTTTCCATTTGCCCCAGAATGCGACAAAGTGAACGTGGGTGTATCCAGCAAGTCCGTCAGCAACTCCTCGCTTTTCCTGGAGCGTGTCTGTCCTCGATCGGTGTACAACTACACCTATACGGTGCCGTTGTCCCACTGTCTGCATCATAAGCATGTGGATATAACCTTCAGGTAAGAATTTAGGTGGACCGACGACCTCATAAAGGTAGCAGGGAGGCGCTGGATGCAGGCCGCTACCAACCGGACGATAAATGGAAATCATTGGGGGAGGCCTACAGGAGTGGATGTCCTGTGGCTGAAATGATGATGATGATGAAGAGTTTACAGGAAAATAGAGCCAGATCTTTCATCATCATCATTCAGACACAGGATGACCAATCCACTGGTAAACATAGGACTCCCTCAGTGATTTCCAGATTGGCTGGTCGGAAGCTGCCTGCAGCCAGCGTCTTCCTGTAACTTTTATTAAGCCATTTGCTAACTTTTTATACCTCTGGTCTTAAGATCATCTGCCGACCTTATGGATGCACGCCAACAACTTTAGGCCTTGTTCAGACACGCGCAATAACCAATTTCTAGGTAATTCTCATCAATTGACGAGGCATTGAGGCGGTAACCGTGCGGTCACGATTTGATACAATACGAGAACCAGCAACGGCGCGATTATCGCTGTGTCTGAACCAGGCCTTAGTTGGAATTTGACTTTAGGCACACCTCTAGACAAAGTAACATGACTCTACATTAACACCCAGGTGTGAGTTAAACCTGTACGGGAGTATTCCCACCTCTCGTTCCCACCGCTGCAACTCCTATGTAGTCAGGATCTACAGCTGGACCTCCAATAACCCAACCAGTGAAGGTAAAGTTTGTCCCGGGAGAAAGTTAAACCGTCATTGGACCCGCAACGAAATTAGTCAGAAAAACATAGGAGTTGGAAGTTTCTCCTGTAGAAGATACTGTTAAAAGAAAATTCACCATCTAAATAAAACTCTTTTTCCAGAGCAACAAAACTCAAAGAGTTCCACCGCTGCGACTCGGCGGATTGCCGACGCGAGGCCGGCTGCCGCAAGTTGTCTTACGTTGGTGATTCATGGAACGCCCCCTTGACTCTTGGAGTGGGGTGTGGAAGCGGCACGGTGCTGAAGATTCGTGGTGCTTTCACTACTATCGAGGTTAGTAACTGATTTATCATCAGGTCATTTAATTTCCAATGCAGGAGCACGACTCTCTCTAATTTACCAGAGGCAGATGGAGGATTTGGTCTACACTTCCCAGCACACGCTGGCCAGACGGGTTGGGGAGGCCTTTGTCATCTTTTCTTATCTCCCGTCGCTTCAGAACAATCAATGTCTTATCTATGCAAGGTTCTATCTTGGGACCAGTACTATTAAATGTGTTAAAATGATGAATATTTAAATATTAAACTATTTAGGCTGGTTTTAGAATCACGCTGACGCACGCTGACCGTCAGCGCTGACAGCCGAAATGTATGAAGCGTCGGCGCCGAGCGATCAGCGTCACTCAGGAACGTTCCCTTTAATTACATACATTTTGATTTGTCAGCGCCGACGATTAGCGAGCGGTCAGCGCGATTCTAAAACCAGCCTTAAGGTTACACTACGTGTAGAAATGATAGTTATTCATAGCTGCTACCAACAAACTCTTGTAGTAACACTTAGGTAGGAAAAGTAGACTTTGTAACTACTGTTACATGAAGCGTGTCGACGCATTTCTGTCATGTAACTCAAGTTAACTACATGAAGCGACGGAGTGGTAACGATTTCTGGAAGACACAGACATGCAGTTAATCTAACAAAATATATATTTTTTTCCAGGATCTATGCAAGCTCACTCCTGAAGACAACTTGCCCTTCGTTGAATATAACATCCGCATTTATAGAGACTGCAACAACTAGACAACTTTCACATTACAATTGAAAAAAATAAATCATTTGGGAGACTTAAGCTTCAACCATACCAACGCGTGCAGATCGCCATCACCGGCGCGATCATAGGCCAATGACAGGTCGCGCAAACTGTCATGGGTCGCGGTAACTGTCATGGGTCGCGCAAACTGTCATGGGTCGCGCAAACTGTCATGGGTCGCGCAAACTGTCATTGGCCCATGATCGCGAGATTTATGTCCAGCTGTGGACTGGTTAGAATGATGATGATGGATGAATATAATGAAATTCTAGAAATTTGGAGATCCAATTGTAGTTCATCTTATCATAGCCGATACAAAAATAGGGGTATTTTTAGAAACTAACTCGAAAACCAGTGAATCTCACGATAAAAACTTAAAAAATAAAGCAGACTGAGCGAGTTAAATTGTTACTCTCTCAGTTAGGTCAAATTCTGAAAGCGTCGCGGTAACGTCGCGCTCACGTTGCGTTCACGTCTCCCTTCCGCCGCGCTGTAGTCACGCTGCCTTTACATCACAGACTTCTCCAGAATCTCTTTCATTAACTTTAATTTAGTAAATAATATAAAATCGTAAACATAATGACATAAGACATTGTCTTAAACTACATAGTTACATCATGTAGAGTCAATCAATTGATTGAACATTAAATTTTAATACTTCACAAAGTAAATGATGATGATTAATATCATCCATTTGATTAAAACATTCCATAAGTGCAATTAAATAAATTAATATATCCGTCCCTATCAAAAGTAACTCAAAATAAATAATAACGTTAGAAAATTATATTTAAAAACGTAGTGCCTAAAAATAATTGCAATAAATAAAATAATGACACAATTTTATTTTTATTAATTTTAAATATTTACTTGTACTTTATTTTTTCACATTATTTTAAAATGAGTCACAAAATAATAATTTTGTTCTTTATCCGTTCTCTAGTACCCATAGTACAAGCTTTGCTTAGTTTGGGACTAGAAGCGCAGTGTAAAATGTCCAAGGATATTTATTATTTATTATTATTATTATTTATTATCGACTTGAAGCATTATTTTTGTGTCCATAAAATGAAATATATTTTGTTTTAAGGCTTTTTTACATAATCAAAAGTAGTAGAGCTATGTATTTAGCAAAATTGTATTCTGAAAACCCATGTATTTTTTTAGCTTTATTGTATTTTTATTTTTTAAAAGTACGAATAGTTAAATTATATTTTAAAAATACTCGATAAGTTTTAAATTTAAAATATTTTCGGCCATGACTATGAGCCATATTGTTTACAACATAACTTATGATTGAAAATAATTTTAAATTGTAGTACGTTTCGAGTTTAAAAAATATTTATTGGTAAGTATTTAAATAAGTATAATAATATTATGGGGAAAATGGTAAAGAAATACACGCTGTAGAGACAAATTGGTGGGAAATATCTATAAAAACATAACCCTCCTTCTGGCGCAGTCGAGTAAAAAGTGTCTTACAATGAATATTTTCCTCCATACTATCTCAACAACACCTGTAGTAGGTATAAATAAAGACTCTTGTCTAAAATGTATGTTTAAATGAATTGTGTATTAAAGAAAGAAGAAATTTAGAAAAACTTCTCACATGAAGGCATTCCACTTTACTTTGTCTTCTATCAATAAACTTAATTTAAAAGAAACTTAAATTTAATGTTTATCCAGTTTAGTTTACAGTCTTCCATTTTTTTCTGCAATCAAAAAACAAAGACTAAAAATAGTTTTCAGTTTTTACTAAAAACTAAAAAGCGTTTGACATTCCAAGAAAGTACTTAATTAGTTTTAATTTTAGATAAGTCTTACTTTAATTGTAGTAAGAATTGTATGAGATTTGCTTTGTATTGTAGTTCCATAAAGTAATGTATATTTTGATTTTTAGATAATCTAGTAAATAAGAAAAACATATTTAAATAATCGTAACATACGGCCATACGATATTAATGTTAGATAATATTTTAGAATTAGTGATGTATATTTTATTCCATTCCTAGAAATCTCTGTCTCAATTTACTTTAGTCACAAAATAGAGTTCTGTGGTTTTCGGAAACATTTGGCAAGTGGGTATAATATTCCTTTAAAAATATAGTGAAGATTCGGGGGATATTCCCAACCTAAAGGCATTTTTGAGAGGCATCTTCTTTCGTGATCGAATCAGAAATGCGTAGATCTGTGAACGAATTAGGCCACTGACATTAGCCCATTGGAATAGCAAATGGCAATGGGCAGGGCACATAGTACACAGATTTGATGGCCGATGGGGCAGCAAGGTATTGGAATGGAGGCCATGTACCCGGTAAGCGCAACCTCATAAAGGTAGCAAGAAGGCGCTGGATGCAGGCCGCTACCAACCGGCAAGTTTGGAAAACTTTGCGCGAGACTGTTTTAATTCAGCAGTGGACGTCCTGTGGCTGAAATGATAATCATTCCTAGTTTCTTCTATTATATAAACTTTCAAGTAATATTCCCAAACTGCGAAATGTTTCCGACAACGACAGATCTCTAGAAATGTACGGTGCAAGAAAGCTCAAAATTTTTATTAACTTTTTTCTTGCCATATCTCTTAATAAATAGTTTATTTATAAGATGCATAGATAATTTCTTTAAACGTATCTATGGTAGAAATGTAGAAATTATTGTTATTATCAAAAAAAAAATTCATCATATTTTTTTTTGTTTAAATAAAAAGCCAGCAGAATTGACAAGCGAATTGAAAAAATTACAAGTACATTTTTATTCTATATTGAATTTATCAGAAAGTATTGCTTTTATTTTATTTTCAATTATTTTTTTGCAATTAATTGAACATGTTTTATTGTAATTCGAATTGTGTAAGTATTTGGCAATGGATCCGACTCTCTGTGAACTTTTTTATTTCAATACATTTATTTTACAACTAGTTTATTGTTAAAGATTTGATGTTAGAATATTTTTAAACTCGTCTTTTCAGTAAAAGTTTAGTGCTTAAAAAAACAACTGAAAAAGTCTTTAAAAAATCGTTTTAGTTTAGTAAATTTCCCAATGAATTCCAAACTCTATTTCAAACATGATTCAAACTCAATCATTTTTGGTACACTACTTTACTGTACCTAAACTTAATTTTGCCACTAACAAAAAGTCACATAAAGTCGATCCAGTCAAATAACTAACTCTAATTAAATTACTACTGTAGTATAAACGATCAAGTTTTTTTTACTTAGCAATAGTATTTGCCACCTAGATATTAGTAAGACCTAGTATTTATGGTATTGTACGTTTAGGAATACGATGTCCACAAATTTGTATTTTAAGTAATATACCTACTTGATTAAATTGTAGCGAATTTACCGGTGTTTTATTGAAGATGGAGAGACACCCGTATTCACAAACGATGCTTGCTTAAGTGAAGCAGCAAATCGAACGCACAGCGTTGAATAGAGCTCTGTGATTGGTTCGTGTGAGACCTCATAGTAATGTTTGTGAATACAGGCATAAAAGTAAACACAACAACAGCCTAATACATTTGGATTTGCTCTACACTACATTATCCTTACTATCCCCCCACTATCCTCCGGGACTGTCTACTTAATACGTAGTAAGGACAATCTGTTCGAGGGGATTCTTGGATGGATAGCTTTGTTGTCGATACGACAAGAAGATCTACTCAATCTTCACTGGTGGGGTTCCATTGGAGGCCAAGCTGTAGATCCTTGCTATACAGGAGTTCCAGTGGTGGTGGGAAAGTATGGTGGTATAGGTCCCGTTTTTTTCTCCTCACTAGTCAAACGAGAAGGAGTGGCCCGTATAGTAATATTACGACATCGCCGGGAATAGTGGGAGAGGTTCATATTCCATTCTATACCGAATACAAGTTACCGAAGCTCAAATAAAAAAAAACATTCCATCAGCAAGTCATTATACAGGGTGTTTGGCGCATCGTGTGCCAAAATGATTTGGCGGATAGAATGGGACATTTCCTAAATTTTCAGCCCCCATAACACGTTCCATGCCAGACGGCTACTTTTATATTAATTTTTAGTAATTTCACCAAAATACCCAAATCGCATCATTTAATTTCAATTTAAAACAAAAACTACTAAGCGTAGCCTCAAAGTAAATATTTTGTGAAGTTTTTACCTGCTTTGAACTTATTGTAAAGTAAAAAAAAGGTTCAAAATTCAAAATTTGAATATCAGTCCGAGTAGAGTCAATGTACTAATTTAAGGTATTTGTAAAGTTGTTGTTATTATTTAAAAATGATTAGTATACGGTTTGAATGGGGATAGACTAGAGAAGTTTTGATAAAATCCGAAGATCGCTATCTCTTTTAATTTTTTTATTATAGCCATGTAAACTTAATTGTTCAGTCCATTTTTAACTTTTCGGAAAACTTCAAAGTTGAATTTAAAAATAACTAGATGATATTTGCCAGTAAATTTATATTTGATGCAACCCTACATCAATGCACGTCAAAACAAAATATTTACTTTGTTTTTTTTAAATCGAAATTAAATGATGCGATTTGGGTATATTGGTGAAATTACTTAAAAAATGTATATAAAAGTAGCCGCCTGGCATGGAACGTGTTATGGGGGCTGAAAATATAGGAAATGACCCATTCTATCCGCCAAATAATTTTGGCACACGATGCGCCAAACACCCTGTATATTTTTTAGAATTTGTTAAGGTTTGTCCTCCTATTTGAGTATAGAATCAATCAACCTTTTTGACCAACTATAAAAATAGCACTTTGTATAGAATATTGAAGTAAGTATTATCTCACATACTAACTAATAACTACAAGTTTTTATTAGAAGATTATTACAACAAAGTTGACCAGTCTTGTGAGCGCGTGCAACGTCATTTGAAGTTCACGAATCACGATTGCTGTAAGTTTAAAGGCGTTCTTCCACTAAAAGACAAGCGGTAAAAGTATAAAGAAAACTTATAAGATAATAAAGAAAAGAAACTAATTCAAACATATTATAAAAAATGATTTATTTTAGTTTTGAATTAGTTTCTTACCGAACAAAAGTATTTAATAAATTATTTTTAGTTAATTAAAAGGGGAGAAATAAAACATTTAAGTATTTAAAAAAAATCTAAATAATCTGTCCGTGCCATTCTAGAGTATTTCCAGCGGAAAATATAGGATAGTTTTTGTAGAAATTCACGTTAGCTTTGCTAAAAATACGACTTAGTTAAAAATGATTTTGCAGTTTTATGAAAACAGTAGTTAACAGGGCCAAGATACTTTTAAATTTAGTTTTGTGTTTTAAATCAATAATGTTTTGTAGCACTTACTCAGTCAGTGCCTAAATTATGGGAGCTGCGTAACAGAGCATACAAATCAAAGTATAATCTGAAGAATATGCTCAACTGAACACAAAACAGCACTGTTTACAAAAAACTTACCAGGTATGGCACCGCGAATTTATAATAAATTACCACATACCATAAGAAATAAAGAAGACTTATTTATTTTAAAAAAAATCCTACACGACTTTTTAATTGATAAAGCATACTACTCAGTTAGCGAATTCCTCCTGGATAGATCCGTTTAAAGACATTATTCTACATGAATTGTTTGTTTGACTTTGTTATTATCAAATCTATGTGACAAATTGACATACTAATGTAATATTAAATTCTATCTACTAAATTTGACATTGTTAATTATTATTGTGACATTAAA